CTTCATCGTCACTTTAACAATGCCCTGAATCATCTTGATCAAAACTCACAGTCCTTCATCGGAGAATGTATCCGGTCAACTTCGGACTCTAACCAGCCTTATTTTTACAAGAGTCAAACCAAACAATTATTATAAACAACACTAGCTACAATGAATCATTTCAATCATGAAAATTTAATACACATTCTTTAATATATTGCTACGTTAATTTTGCTCCGTTCTCCTACTAAAATACTCTAACGTTCTCGCATCCAAAGGGGACACAAACAACGTTTCAACAACAAGCACTAGGCTAAAATTACAAGACACGGGTCAAGACACGAGCCGAGGGAGCCTCCCGACAAATCTTCGAAAGCAGAGGTTATCGCACACAAACTGAAGACTATTTGAACTAATCCTATAAAGAGATCATGCAGATTACTGAGATTTTCTGTTATCAGGCAAAAATAACGCCTGATTGTATATTTGAAGAACTTTCGTCACGTTATTTATTTAAAGTCCCCGGAGGAGAGGAGGGGAGGGGAGGGAAGGGGATGGTTCTACCTATAGCTAGCCCGCTAAGGCCAGGTCCAGATTGAACACGGAGAAAATGCTTTCCATTGTACACATAAGTTATTCATAGCTTACCCATCTGCATCCGGCTGGTATTATAAAGTCATATGAGTATTAGAAATCATCGACATTTTTACCACAGAATTGAAGGGTTCAGCTGAAAAACGTTGACTGGTTTGCAACGATACCGAGGTTGATTTTACAGCTTGTCAAAGGGCACACAGTGAAAAGTCTACTAATAACACACTAATACAATCATTTATTTAGCTTCATATGTCGTAATTTTATACTAGCAATAAAAATTAATGGAAACCTATTCTCAGACGTCTAGTGTGACGGAGCTCTAAAGGGACTCACTGCTCAATAGTACTTTTCAAATAACCGTGGGTTGTGTCAAGTCAAGCTACAAATCGCCAAAACCACGTGCACGGTAACATTTTTTTCAGGAAATGTCTTAGCTCGCTGCGATAATATGCAACTCTGGCCACAACTGAATCACATCTGCGCTAAACTTCTTATCTAAAACTGGTGGTAAAAACTTTCCCCTCGATAAAATGCCTCAGAACATATCGTAGAAATGAAAATATATTGACATGTTCCCCTCTAGGGGGATTCACTCACTACTTGACACATGCTCAGCAGCAAATGACTGTGGATCAGGAGAGCAGTCAGGCTAAAAATTGACAAAACCACGCAAGATTTTTTATCCGGAAATGTCTTGGATATCCCCGTTGCCATAAAATGCTACTCTGGCCACAAATCACATCCGCGCTAAACTTCTTATTTAAAACTGATGTTAAAAGACGTTTCCTCAGAAAAAAATGCCTCAGAATGCCTGAGAAAACATAGCATAGGAGAGTACGTATAGATTTCAGAAAGTCCTTAGCCACGAAATTTTGAAACGATGCCTGTTTTCAAGTACTGTCTGCACCATTTTTTTATTGTTCAGAAGGTGAAGGTTGGGTGTCTATCAGCCATCGATCACTCCACATACAGAACGTGACTGACCAGTCTTGAGTTTGATTGAGTGGATAAACATGTTGCCAATGCGCTGTTTTGAAATGCCAAACCTTAATTAAGGGCCAGAAAGGTCGTCTGCCAAATCGTCGGTACGCGGTTTATGCTCGACGCGTGCGTTTATGATTTCAAAGCCATGTCACCAACGCAATAATAACTTTAATCATAAGCTAACCTGAACTATTAAGCATTTAAAAGGTGGACAGTGGGACAAAATCTAAGAACCCCGAAAAAAAATTATTTTGACTAAGTTGTAATTGCTTTGTTTAGTTTGGATGAAACCCAACTGGATAAGAAAGGGAGTTTTCACTCACTTGTATTTGCGCGACCCACTAGAACTTAACTGACGTCTAAATCCTCTTAAAGGCCCTCTCGATCAGTAAATATTTTCAGTAAGCTAGAGAAGTGAACAGTTAGTTCTTTGTAAAGTGGAGAATTTGAACGTGTTCCTAAAGAAACAATGAAAGGCGTTTACTTACAATACCACTGTCCTTGGTGGAACTCTAGGGATTCGAGACAGAAATTGATTATTGCAACGAACAGTCGGGCCGGCATGCGACCTGAAGCACAAGCAATTGTCCGGGCACGGCGAAGCCTTTTCGATCCAGCACATCACCGAAAAAGCAAGAAACACGCCGTAGATAGAAGCACGGAAAGCAATAGCCCTGCCGCGTGCCGTCGACATGTTTCCGCGACTGTAGGTAAATTTGTCCCTCGACTGGGCACAAAAGGTAGTTCCCTGTTGTATTTGTATCCGTGAAAATGATCGGAAATATCAGCAATGCATGCTGTTTGTGTCGGTGGGATCAAGTTTCACTTTTCCTATCCGCCTTCGATCATGATGAGCGTTGATTTTCATAATATCTATCAATCATACTTATCAAGTAACAAACCACTTAAAAATATCACTCGTTTTTAGTGCTATCGCTAGCATTGGAAGTGTGGATGCAGTATGTGCAGTTCTACTTCATTTTAGTTGAACGAGTAATCGTTGGACAGTTCTTGCCCACAATAGTCAGATGTCTACAACCCTGAATGACCTTTTTGGATCCTTAATGGTTTGCTTAGTTTTTCGTAAAACCATCTGTTTTGAAACCAAGCAAGGATTCTCAGAAGCTTCTATCTGAAGTCGAGAACAGCGTTTTCCAAATATGTCTTATGTCCATTAAATAGTCGATACATAGAAAGGCTGGGTTGTTATGTGGTAAATCGTTGATCGTGGATCGCTCTAGTTTTCAGGGTCAGGGGTGGTATCCTTTTGTGTTTATGTGGCGTTAAATGCCGGTTTTCAGCGGGAGCTAAGTATCATAAAGAGTGGATTGTTATTGGTTATTACAGTTTCAGCTATTCAAAACTAATCGATTTAGTGCGAAAAAATGATTGATTTTGTACAATGCCTTTAGTCAATGGCCTCGCGCGCTCTGTTCTTTCCTACGCCCACTACAATTCCAAGCGCCTATTTAGTTAGCTAAGAGAAGTTTGCCAAAGGGTAGGATTTTAGGGTATTCTTCTACAATACGTTTTAAAAATAATGCCGCTGAGTCCGGGCGCTGAGTATTGTCACGGCTGAGTTATCGATGGGCTAGCATAGGGCAAAGGAGGTAGGAAGTAGTGGGCGCGAAAGAGACACGCGTGTCTCCCTCTCGCGCGCCCGTTCTTTTTTGCGGCCACTTTTTCCAAGCGCCTGCTAAGTAGGCTACAAAGGAAGGGAATACCCAATGTAAGAGGATCTGGATTCCGGAATCGGGGAATTCTGATTGTAGAATCCGGAATACTTGGCTTTGGAATCCGAAATACAGCTCAAGGACTCCGGAATCCCTTTAACGATTACATCAAGAATCCAAGTTCCACTGACAAAGAATTCGGAATTAAGTACCCGGATTACGGAATCCAAGACGTGAAATCCAGAATCCAGAATTCAGACCGTGAAGATATCATCATTTGTAATACGAAATTCTGCAAATAAGTTCAACTTTAATTCGATCATTTTGGATCAAAAAGCACTAAGCCACTTTGAAAGACAGTACTCACTTCCCTGACGCCCTGAATCGCCCATAACCCTCTCCCAAAGGAGACCTGGCAGGCACTTGCAAAATATCTCGTCGGATCTCTTTTTTTAAAGTTATATCTCAGGAAACGTACACTCCATAATAATACTCCATTAATAGCAGTATAACAGCTACTCTGCAAAAAGCATGTTAAATGTCCTTTTTGTCAGAGGTTCTTTAAAGCCATAAGCAGTACCGTTACTTTTCCATGACAATGTTTACCAAATGATTCATGATAGTGGACTCCAAGCAGGTACTTCAAGCAGCCAATTAAAATCAAACATGGTCTTGTGTTCAATTTGACTAGACTCGTAATTTATTGATTGGTTTATAAACTTCCGTCTCGTAACTACACAACCCCACCGGATCGGAGAAATAACATCAGGAGCTAAGGTTGGTCTTGTTTAGAAAACAAACTAATGGAGTTGTTTATTAACTTGCTATAGCCCAGTATATTAGGGCGGATACGAAAAAAAACCAATGCAACCCTCAGCAGGAAAAGATCAGCGATCATTTTGGGCGGGTGTAGCCTGCTCGCGAGAAATTGGCTCTGATCAAAGTTTTAGAAAATTTAAGGCTTTAGGTTAAAAAAAAAATAATTGTAAGCCTTAAATTATATATCACTACTATGCTTTAAGATTAAGAAGGACATGACGGTTTTTTTTTTCTCTTCAGATCCTTCAACAGTAAAAATATAGCATTTAATCGTTTAATTTGACACTTGAGTTTTGTTGTGTAAATTAACCGTCAATCGTCTCTGTACATCAATGAAAGCCATGCAGTGAACCGTATTCAGTCTTTCATCGCAACTATTTGTTTTTTCGTATCAAGTACTTGGAGAACTGAGTTTCAAATTATTTTTTCTTCGTTTTAACGTCGTTTAGCTGAGGAAATAATGATGCCATACAATGAAATCCATTAAACACCTGCTCCACTGCTAACTGGTGACTCGCTCTACTGAACTGCCAGTCATTATTACAAAAGTTTGAACCAAGGAAAGGGAAAGAAAAGTGAACGGTGTAATTAGTAAGGCGGGACTCATTTAGTAAGTGCTCACGTTAACTGTCGTTAAAGTGCCTTTCGAGGAACACTTAGGTATCGCATGGCGACAAACTTAAAAGTCAGTAACCGTGACAAACACCTTTCTTAAGAGTTCTTAATTAATGCTCTGTAATTTAACAACAGATATCCTAGATCAAGTCTTGAAGAAATTTGTTTCATCTGAAAAAACAAAACAAAACAAGGAATATAATTCCAAAATACAAAATAAAAAACAAGAAATGCAATTATAATATCTGAAATACTTGCTTTAGTCAACAATTAATTTTAAATGTGCTGTTGTTTTTCCAATACAGTTGTTAGATTGAAAACTTAAATATGAACTTAGTGAGTCGAAATATCTTTTGAGAAAAACCTTTTTTTTGCGATCAAACCGTTAACAATCTATAGTGTCAACGACAGACAATTTTCACACAATTTCAGGGTGGTTAAAATTATAGCTACTAAACCTCCTGCAGGGAGGGCGGGAATTGGGTTCTAATTGACTTATATTATTTCAAATCAGCTTAAAACGAGAGGCACTGTCCATCATGAGATGTGGACAAAACAGGCATATAAAAATGGAAACTACAAAGACATTACTGAAATGTTTTTTTTTTTGTTAGAAAGTGCTTTTTAAGTGCCTTCTCTATGGACAACTGCCAAACATCACGATTTTTCAGCTTTAAAGTGAATTTCTAGCAATAAAAACTTCATCCCAAAATATTTCTATGACGCTCTCATAGATTTTTGCTCAAACGTCACGAATATTAAGGCAGCGGTTGAGGGAGCAAGCTCCCTTGAACGATTTTGGGAGAAAAACCTCCTAGTACAGAGAAATACAAGTAAAATATGTAATGACGTCATTTCTGCTTGCTATGAAAACTCTAGCCTGCGCGCAGACGAAATTAAACTCTGGTTAACTCCAATCAGAGTTTAGTTATCGTCTGCACGCAGGCTATGAAAACTCCAACGTGAACGAAACACTGATAATAACAAATTTTCATCTTTATACAGCTGTGCTGCTTATTTTTTTCAAAATCTTTGTTAATGGAGACGTAGTTAATGCTCAAACTAGGGGGGTATTGTCCCTGAAAAATCCTATCGAGCCTAGAGGGTGGACTGTATATCGATCGATAATGACTTAATCGTTTACTCCACTGATTATCTTCTCATTCGATTCCCAGGGTGTCCTCAAGCATGTTTCTCCAAACTTGTATTGGAGCGCTATTAGTCTTTCTGACGGCCGTTCAAGCTCAAACCACCCCTCCTCCTTCTCCTAAACCTTCACAAGCAGGTAACTCAATTGCATGAATAATTAGCCCAAGGTTGTTAATTTGGTGCGTCTCTCTATACCATTTTGTTGCATAGCTGGATGTTTGTTTTACTTATAACAAGAACTCTAATTGGCTACTCACTGAGAACGTTGCAAAATCTATGATAGCCTGCGTTGCCGACACCCTAAACATTCTGTAAACCTAAACCTTCGAGAAAGGTTGTCGGAAAAACTGTACACGCCACAATCCCGAGAGGTAATATGGGATATGACTTGAGGTAAGCAAGAGAGAATGATCATTCTCTCTTGAGGTAAGTCATTGATTACGGATCCGCGTTCGTCACTCGAGTCGAAAGGAGTTCAGTTTCCCTGCCGAGATGCGCCTGATAAAATTAATAGGGGTGGCTAATTTGCAGTCGCCCGTGATATGGATAGCTCAAAAATTTGTGCCTTAGTGCCACAGGAACACCAGATTGGGATTCGTTCTGACGAACGCGATCAATGCACTTTTCCTAACACTATATGTAGCTGTCGAATCTACTTTAGTTGTTTTCCTTTAGCCCTCGCAAACATACGTCCACGGCCTCTCGTGCAATTCTTTGAAATTTCTTTGAAAAACAGTGAACTCAAAACCACACACAATACCTTTTGGGATTGTCGTGTGCACTTTTTCCGACAACCTTTCTCAAAATAACTGTAGATGGACTATAAAAATGGGCTAGACGATGCGTGGACCGGCTGCAACGCAGGCCGAATCTATGAGTCAGTGCCACTGGAAGACTGTGCAGACTGGACAATTCAAACTGGACTCCAGCTGCGTTGATTCCCAAGAATATGAATCACTTCCTTAGATTTGCTTCTTATCATTCGCTGAGAATAAAATTTGCGCGAGAAATTGGAGCCAAGCACAAAATATAATGAGAATGGAGAACAACACAAATGAATAGTTATTTTAGACGAATAGAAAAAGTTCACTATGTATTTCATAATGCATGCACTGATTAGAATTTCTTGTCTCAGTGGTTCATATTTGTTGTATCTTTCTTTAGCCCCTTCTGAGGAAGCATTCTTGAAAAAGGAACTTGACTTCATGAACAGATATCGTCTGATGCATGCTGCTGCTCCTCTCCAGCTCTCGCTCGACCTTACGAACAAAGCAGAGCTTTGGGCCACTAAACTCGCCAGTAACGATGAGGAGAAAATCGATGTAAACTCTAAATATGGCCAGAATATCTTCTCATCTAAGGACACACAGGACATTGCTAGGCGAAGCGTTCAGTCCTGGTATAATGAACTCAGATTTTACGATTTCCATAGTGCCAAAGGTTCATTGAAGTCCGCCTATTTCTCGCAGCTCGTATGGGTTGGATCACAGGAAGTTGGCGTTGGAAAGGCAGTGGGTGCCAGTGGAAAGACGTACATTGTCGCTTTATTTAATCCACCCGGAAATAAAGGCGACTATCTGCACAACGTGCACCCCGTAACAGGTTAGCATACTAAGATTTAAATGAAGATCACTATAGTTCTTTTAACAAAATCTTACGAACAACCGGCCTAAAAAGCAGCCAACAGTTCATCATTTGTAACTAACGATGGTTATGACGTCATGGTGCTGAGCTAAGACCTGATGATATTTCCCTGTAGCATTTGAAAGAAAGATTGATTTTCAAGACTGTAAGACTTCAGTACTTTCTTCTTCTTTCTTTCTTCTCTGCAGAAATGAGTGGTGTACTTAAGAGTACCTCTTGGAGTACCCGATGTCCCTTCGCGCCCTTTTTTACCGTTTGTTACATTTTTTTCTTTAGCGTAAACAAGACAACAGTTTATTCCACCCTGATCCTCATCCTTTGTTTCTGTTCTTTTCCACCCCTCTCCCAATTTTACCATATTCGGTATATTTTTCTGTTTACACTGGAGACAGAACGTTTGTAGGTTTGTAACAATAACCTGAAATCTCTCAGGTCTTTCTCGATTGGTAGCGGAACCAAAGAAGCTTCTATTTATTTCCTTGTAGGTAGTGGTGTTGGAAAGCGAGGCCCATGTAAGTATTTTTCACATTTATATATTACCGCTAGTCATCAATTGACATCGTTAAATTAAACGAACACATAGAACTCAGAGTAACTGAAACAGAGCGTTTCTTTCCTTGTAAATACTGCGAGTACTCTTTGAACAAAATGCCACTAGTAATTTCAACTTTAAATTTCAACGATTTCCCCCTGTTGACAGCAAATTGTCCCACTGGATATCAGCTCTACGACAACGTATGTTATAAGTATTTCCCTGGACCAGTAAACTGGGTTCAAGCTGCAGAGAAGTGTGCTGAACGATTTTCCACTTTAGCGTCCATCGAGAGTCAAGCTGAAGAGTTTTTCATTAGGACTGTTCTGGTGAGATATGTGTTGATACGCACGGGAGAAGACACTGAATGGGGTTGAAATGATTAAGACCCCTTATATATGGAGAAAACTTGTCCTGGGTAGAAGGCAGTGGTGGATCCAGTGAAGGGGCCATTTGGGCCTGCCCCCCTTATTTTTAGACCAAACTGAGGCCCAAAGGGCCGAAAAAAAGATTTTTTTTAGACCGCCCCCCTAACTCAAAGTCTGGATGACAGCCCCCCTCCTCTTATCTGAAGATCTGCATCAGCCACTAGAAGGGTTACTAGCCTACTAGAACTACCAGGGCTCCCCGGGGGGTCCTGCCATATATGGGCTATATAGGTATGTACATCTGTGAAGGGTATGGTTTTCAAGGCGTTTACCCTGGGATAGGGTATATAAATCAGAGAGTTTGGGTCTAGAATAGGGTATCATTTTCCAGGAAACTAATCAATTGATTGAAGATTATAGGCTAGACTAAGGAAACCGGGAATTGCCACCAAAACATAAGAAAAAATCAAATCGGCAAAATTAAATTTACGCAATTCAGCCTAAGCTACTCTAGAATAGGGGGTATTTGGGGGAGTTTAGTCTAGTATAGGGTAGCAAAATTCAGCTGAACTAGCTCTGGTATAGGCTAAGGGTTCCAGAGTCCCAGCGGCACATCCCCACCCAAAAATTCCTAAAGTACCCCCCGGGGCCCGCGGTGGGCCAACTTTTCCTACACTTCCTTACAAATCTTGGCGAGCCGTTTACACGAGAAACGCACAGTTTGCTCGGCTATAGCCTGCGTAGCAAGCTTTTCCTCGCCAGTTCGTCGAGCAAGTTGGGACGAGAGCAAAAAAGAGGTGACCAACATGCCTCGAGAATCTGTAAGGCTCAGAGCACTTAGATTGTGTGGAGACGGATGAAAACCGATTGCAATTAAAACAATAATTTTAAATCAGATGAGATGAATTGAACCTACTTTATATAAACTTAAGTTTTGGACAAAACAAAAAGCATATATTCGAGACAGAGCTTCGTGAAAAAACTTAAGTTATTTTTTCTTTCTGTTTTCATTTATAGACCTCTGGTGGCGCATCCGATGCCTGGATGGGTATAAGTGACTTAAATACTGTTGGTGTCATGTCCTGGTTGGACGGGACTGAAAACGTATACAACAATTGGGATTATTACCAGACAATGTTTCCTGGCAAAAAATGCGGCGTTATTAGTACAAACTTCAACTGGAAGTACAAGCCATGCGATAAGGCAAGAGGATTCGTTTGCAAGCGACCCCTTAGAGGTAAGAGAAATGATCGGAAAAAATGTTTAATGTTCATTTATATAGAATACGTGTTCAATGGCCTTTGAAATCAGAATAGTTTTCTGAGAGCGCCTGGTACTAAATCAGCGGATTTTGAGCTTCTGCACATGGATTTGGGATGGGTTTGCACTGTCAATACAACAATAAACAGTTCGGATACTTAAGTATCTTGTGTGTCGCACTAAGAGTCTAAACGTGTACACATACATGAAACATGTTATTGAGTGCATTTATTTCCACGCAGAGATACATATCGCCAAAGCACAAGAAAACTGGTTGATTAGAACCAGTTTTTATTCATTTTTATGGCTTGCGTCCTGATTGGCTACCAAGAGCGGGCTAAATAAGCCTATCATGTCTATTCGGGATTTCCTGCTTTGTTTTGAGGGTCCCCAATAGCTTTTCGGGATCTTTGATTTCCCCTTTGAAGGCCAGTATTCGGGATTTTAAAGCAAAATGGGGGCGAGATTCGGGATTGAAAGTGGGCACGATGTGGAATGCCGAAAATAACCCTTGGGATTACGGGATTGAGCAAAAATTTGGGTCAGGCCGGATGACGGAATTGAAGAACCCTATGGGGACTCTCACTTTTGTTTCGGCCATGAAATATATTCTTAATGACCAAGAATGTTCGCGGTTAAGTTGGCTGAATATTGGCCTTGTCTGCCCATAAAACCTTATCTCTTATGTTTTTTATGTATGCAAACAAAAAAAAATAAACAAAAATGATTGTAAATGGCCCTAGTGATACATACGTTCATGAGGGACCCTTTCTATTTCAGGCCTTACAATGTACATGGTGCTAATTCGTTACGAAGATAAACTCTGGACAGATAACCTGTACATGCCAGGAAGTCCTCGACACCAAGCTCTCAGCAGAAATATTCAGGAAGCAGTAAGCTTACATAGCATTGATCAGGGGCACCCAACGAGGATATAGTTCAAAACCACTTAACATAGCATTGTTGAACGTATTCTAGTATTTAAACAGTAGATATAGGCATATTTTTATCCCCTAAAAACTTTTCATCTGTTCGGATTTCCTAGCTGAAAGTCTAGTGATCCGAAAATTATAGGGATCAAAACTTACCTTTTCGAAAATTTCAGCCAGGAAAAGGCTCCCGAAAATTCTAGGTGGCCTTTTTTAGGGTAAATATCCGTTTAAAATGGGTAGTTATACCATTTTGTAGATGTTCGAAAATCCTAGGAGAGGCAGGCAAGCAAGAAATTTTAAAACAAATGTTCCGAAAATTCTAGTTCTCAAATCGTCTTCCGAACAGATATTTTCCCGAAAATTGTCGTTGGGTGCCCCTGATTGATTGAGCTTCACTGGATGTTCATGACGTTGCGCTGTGTTCGCGTGTGACAGGGGCACCCAACGAGGATATAGTTCAAAACCACTGGCATTGTTGAATGTATTTTAGTATTCCAACGGTAGATATAGGCATATTTTTATCCCCTAAAAACTTTTCATCTGTTCGGATTTCCTAGCTGAAAGTCTAGTGATCCGAAAATTATAGGGATAAAAACTTACCTTCTCGAAAATTTCAGCCAGGAAAAGGCTCCCGAAAATTCTAGGTGGTCTTTTTTAGGGTCAAAATCCGTTAAAAATGGGTAATTATACCATTTTGTAGATGTTCGAAAATCCTAGGAGCGGCAGGCAAGCAAGAAATTTTACAACAAATGCTCCGAAAATTCTAGATCTCAAATCGTCTTCCGAACAGATATTTTCCCGAAAATTGCCGTTGGGTACCCCTGGAGTGAGTTTGAATCTGTCTACTGATTGTGGTTATGTTTTTTATTCCCGACAGCTTCTTTCTGTATATGGTGATTTTGACTGGTTTGAAGAGGTTACTTTGGATCATTTCAGGTAACGCTAAAATATACACTGGCTGTTTAAAGTGACCTCTAATGTGAATGGATTATATTTGCCTTCTATACGGTAATTTCTGTTAATTAGTTCTTGGTAAAGAGTAATTAGGGCCAATTCCCATACTCTCAACAGTGTACAGGAAATATTGTAGCTCCCAGTCGAGGATAATGCAATATCCACATTCTCATCCTGTCTGGGCAATGTTTTTCGGCTGCTTAAGTTGCCTGTAGGAAACATCAAACAAGCTATCTTTGCTTGGAAGGTGGAGGCGGGGTGCAGTTTGTTATGTTGCCCTCATTTCACGAATTTTTCGCATATATTTTTGCTCATTGGGGCTCCATAATTACGGAGAATAAAAATGGTAAAATGGACTTTATCGGGGACAAGGATATGTGTGAGTTGCTGGTGCATTTTTTTTATGAATATACTTTCTTCTTTTCTCTATAGCAAAGGAGAGCAGGATAAGATACTGGCCTACATAAAATTAAGTTTTACCCCCGATGACGATTCCGTTACCGATCCAATCCAGTTTCTTCGCGATGCCATTCAAGGAAAGGGAAATAATAACTCTACAAAAAGAAGCGTCATCTCTGGTACTCTACACGGAGAAAAGATCCAGCTGATCAACACCACTTTGATCACTGGTAAGATGTAACGGCTATTTGTGCTCTTTTTACCCTCTGCTCCTGGTTGGGTCAGGCTGCAAGGTCGCGGGTGCTTGGAAATTGTTAGGCTCTCTCGGCCTAACAATCAAGGTCTAAAGTTTTTGCCGTAACAACGAATTTTTTTTGAACTTTTCACAAAAAAGTATTCTTGGTGAGACAAGATTGTTTTGATTCTTAATGATTAAGTATGTTGCCATGGGAACCGCGGGTGTTAGGCTAAACTTGTGCAGTTTCTTAGGACTGTTAACGTTCCTCACTAGCCCTACCTTTGAAATAAAATCTTCTAAAAGTTGATGGCGAAGTATAAATAGCGGATTTGCCTTTGCCTTGAAAGTAAAATCACCACTTAGTACTTAAAGATAATCCTACATCAGAACCTTTAGTATTATAAGCCAAACTAATGCCTTTTAGATCAACAAGTGTAGTTAGCACATTTTGTCCGCTAATTGTATGTTATTTTGCTGTACAAAATAATCCCTGTTTTGTTTCCACCAGCGGACCAAATTGGTACGACGTGTCCAGCTTATTGTGCTGTCTCACAATGTTCACCCGTCGCCTGTAGCCCATGGTGCTGTGATACTTTTGGTCAGCAGTTTTTCACACAGCAACAGCCACAACAGCTTGGATATAACTCATATGGCTCTCAGCCTTATTACAACACAGCCAATCAAATGCCAGCTTATCCTCCACAAAATCAATATCCCGCGAGGCCACTGAACCCTTACCCAGTCCCTCAGCCCGCACCGTATCAGTACCGAGTCCCCCCTCCACCAACACCTTACCAGTTGCCACAGCAACATCAATACGTAGCTCGACCACAGCCGTATTTCCCTGCGCCAATGCAACTACAACAGAATCCATACCAGGTTCCACTGCGGCCTCAGCCAGTCCAGCAGCAAGTCTCACCCACCCCACTGCGAAACTCACTACGATACATAATTATGCCAAAACAACAACCTCGGCCTCCAGTGCCACAGCCATACCTGTCCATCCCAAGCCCGACGTTTGCTTCACAGGCACCCGTGTATACACCACCACAGCCGTTTCCACAGATGCCGATTCAGGCAGTTCCGCAGTATCTGCAGATGAGCCCAAATAAAAAGGACAAACAAGGAGGCACCGTACAGTTACAGGGTACGGTATTTTCCTATCCGTATGCTCCTCAGCCCGCTCCGGCTGTCCAGCCAATACCAGTTTACATGCCAACACAATACTACCAACCCACGGTTCAACATGTAACGAAACAGGCAAACAGTAAAGAAAAGGAAGATGAAAAGAAAAAAGGGGCTTCGGAAAAGTCTCCTGTGAAAACTTCTCAGGTAGGAGTTTCACCTGGAGTTGCCCCAGTTTATCCTCACATGGGGTATCTACCCCAAGGATATTCTCCTCAAGGATATGCTCCGCAGGGTTATGCTCCTCAGGGTTATGTTGCGCAGGTTCCACCTCCTATATATCCAAATCCCGTACCTCCGCCTCAAACAACTTGGAGGATAAAACTCTACCGTCCCGTTGTAACTGTCGGCCACCCCCAGTCGCCGGTCCCTCTCTTCAACCCGGGGTATCCGCTACCAAGCCAACCATTTCCGCCAATGACCCGTCAACAATACCCCCCACCACAACCCTCCGCTACACAGCCAGCATCACCAGGGCTTCGTCCAATCGAACAAAGACCTCAACCACCACAACCTATACCTCCTCCAAGTTTCTTCCCTTCTCAGCCACTGAATGTGTATCGCCCGCCACCGGTCGCGTACCCCAACCCTGGCTATGCACCGGGTCAGAGCTCGCAGGTGAACCTTTGGCAAGCGCTACAGAAGACATTCCAGCCCAGTTCTTGCCCTGCACCTTGCCCAAGTTACTGCGCGCCATCCTGTACCCCAATGTGCTGCAAAGATCGCAAATAGATGGAAATAAGATATGAACCTGATAATTAAAGAAAGATGGTAAATTTTAAGCTCGGTGAAGAAGTGAGAAATGAAGTGATCAACATGTCACGAGCACGGGACAAAGAAAAAAATCTGAGTTCCCAACAGGATTTGCAACTATGACCTTCCGTACATCGGTCGGATGCTCTAACCACTGAGCTACGAAGGATTCGTGGCGAGCTGTGCCATATTCAAAGTTCATGTGTCCGACCATCCGACCGTTGTACGGAAGGTCACAGGTTCAATTCCTGTCCGGCACTCAGATTTTTTCTTTGTCTTATGCTATGCTCGTGACATGTTGATCACATCACTTCTCATTTCTTCACCGAGCTTAAAGTTTACCTGCTTTCTTTATTTATCACATACATGACGATTTCATATTTCTTACTTTTCGGAATGATCATGTCCATTTTCCATGATCTTTATGTATGACCCTGCCCATAGGCAGCACGCATGTCATACATGAACCTTGTAATAAGCCCATCTCGCCACAAGTCCTTCGTAGCTCAGTGGTTAGAGCATCCGATCGGTGTACAGAAAGTCATAGGTTCAATACCTGTCGGGGACTCAGATGTTTTCTTTGTCCCATGCTCTTGACATGTTGATCACATCATTTCTGAAGATATAAACCTGATACCACAAGAGTTGAATAACTCACTTAAAGGGACTGTATCACAACAGCTTAGTCGATTTTGTTTGGTTACTTTCCTAATACTTACTGTGTAACTTAACGTAAGAGAAATAACCTTTTAAATGAAAAAAATTAGCTTTAATAAAATCTCGTATCCCGAAGAACAGTTTGAAAAATTGGCCTGGAAAAGTTTTTAAAATATCTCAATAACGATCCGTTTTCTACTTGTCCATACCTACTTTTGCATTTAGTATTTATTTTTATATTTTACAAGTACTTAATTTTGGT